AACTTGCGAATATGGATATTATCAGTGTAGGAAAGTAAACTATTGCATTTCTATAGAGAAAGTATGCGATAACGTTCCGCACTGTCCCTTGAATGACGATGAATACGATTGTGGTTGGTTGAACAATTGAATGACCTGCTTGAAAAAATCTATAAACCTATTTAAATATAAATTGTTATTTTGTAGTTAATTTCCATCCAAAAAACTACTTTAAATGCAGAAATGAAAGTTATTTTATCATGATTACAAAAGTTTGCGATGGAATCGTTAACTGTTTCCATGGAAATGATGAACTATTTTGTAAATATTCTCTGAAATGTCCAAACAAATGCGTCTGTCGACCAAAGTACTCAATGAACTGTTCTCAAAATCATTTCGATTTAAATAGCATTGATGGACATAAGAGATTGTTTATAGGCAAAATTGACAAACTAAGCATTGATTTTAAATTTGAATTAACTATAACAGTATTACAAATAGTTGATAGTAAATTGGAAATAACTCCAAATATTTCCAATCTTCCAAACGTTTTCCATCTGGATTTGAGAAATAATCGATTAAAGGCGATAAACTTTGAGAAGAGCAGTAAAAATTTGAATTTACAAAAGCTCTATTTGGCAAACAATCCAATTAAAATTTCTGATAAAAAGGCATTTAATCCTCTAATTCATTTAATATATTTGGATATATCAAATACTAGAATCTTTCATATTACCAATTCTCCATTTTGGCATTTAAAGTCTTTAACTATTTTAAAAATGGCGAAATGTTATATTAAATCAACTCCAAAAGCATTTTTAAATATGATTAATTTGAGAGAAATTCATTGGAATTCCACTAAAATTTCACCGGAACTGGTAACTGTTGAATTTGTTAAAACTTTGAAAAATGTTGAAAAAATCTATAGTGCAACTTTCAAATTATGCTGCCTTGCGAAAATTTACGTTATTAATTTGAAATACTGTTCACCTCGGCAATCTGATGTTCATTCTTGCAGTGACCTAATTCCGTCTGTCCTTTATAAATCTCTAGTTTGGATATGTGGAATTGTTGGCATTGCAGGGAATATTTTTGCAATATACTTTCATATTAAGGGAAATGTTGGGACTAATCAATTCTTCTATATACTCCTATCACTGGGAGATTTGTGCACTGGAACGTATTTCATTATAATCGGATCGGTTGATGAATTCTTTAGGAATAGATATATTCAGGAAGATTATCACTGGAGACACAGTATCATTTGCAGGATTACTGGATGTTTTATAAGTTTTGCAATTCTCCTCTCAAGTGTCAGTCTACTTGCCATTTCAATTGAAAGATACGTAACAATAGTGAAACCTTTTAACACTTATTTTCAAAAAAAAAAAGATACTGCAATGTTTACTTTTGGCAATTATAGCGTTTTGCCTAGCGATCAGTCCACTAGCCCTCCATACTGTAAGTCATTCAATCATTCAATCATTCAATCATTGTAAAATTTTTAATGGTAGAATTTCTATTCAACTTCTTCCTTATGCTATTCCCTTCATATCAGAACAGAGAAATATGATGGATGGCTATATTCATTTCTAATTTATGGAATCTTCATGATAGCAATTTCAATGACAGTAATTTTATTCTATATTCTTATTCTTATCTTTATAATTAGGACAAAAAGTATAACATCTGAAAAGAATTTCACTAAAAGATTGAGGAAGATTACTCAAACTTCATTCCTGATTGTGATAACAAATTTGAGTTGTTGGCTTCCTATATCAGTTTTAGGTCTATTTGGCAATGTTTTCTTATCTATTTAATCTTTAATTTTCTTATTATTTTCCATTTGAAGGCATTTTATCAAATGTAATTACAATAGAGATGACCAATGATATTTATACAATGTTCATTGTTAGTGTTTTGCCCTTGAATTGTATAGCAAATCCATTTATCTATTGTCTAGCGCATGTGAAATTGTATTTCAAAAAAAGAGCAAAAGAAATTTTGAAACCAATGTAAGAATTGTTTTGACCTTCACCTTCCTCAATCATCTTTTCTTTTAGAGTAGTCCAACTAAATGAATTATTAAGGAAACAATTTCCCAAAGGTAATCAAAGATGCTGAATTTTTTCAGATTTCTTACAGCTGTTTTTAGGTTTTTTGCTCTATACGAATCATTATCAATTTGGGATATACTGCAATTCTGTAAAACGAGCTAGACGGCAACTAAAAGCTGATGCTCAATTTTTTGCAAAATGGCGGTTCTTATATTGTATTAAAAACATAGCTACAGCCATATACTTTTGCCATTTTAATAATGTCTATCTTAAAGGCCATATCAATCAAAATCTGATATACTTCAAGATGGTAAAGGTTAGGGTAATATTTAAATGGAAAAATCATTTTTTTTAAATTTCTCAAATGTTTCAGGTAGGAGATAAGAAAGTCATTAGATATTATTTAAAGTTAGTTACAGTGGATGTATACAATAAATCGTCTATGAGCAAAGATATAGAAGCATTTGGATCTTTAATTAAAAAATTTCTAATTCAGAGAAATATTATCATTCAATAATATTTTTTTTTCTTGTTTATCATCTTTAAAAGATAAATCTCTATTCAATTTGAATAAAAAAACAACAAATTATAGTATAATTACACTAGAAATATCTTCTGTAACATTTTTAAATTTGCAGTTGTAATACTGCAATAAGAAAACTAGTCGTAAAAGACATTTGTTAAAAAATGCAACACAACACGATTGATTGTTTATTCTTGATAATTCTATAAATAGCCCAGCTTCTTTAACATCTTTAGTTCTACAGTCATTTCCAACATCTAAAATAATGTTGTTGTTGTAAATTCTTATTTCAAGGACAATGGTTGTCTTTCTAAGAAATGGAAAGATTAAAAAGTTGAACAGTAATTGGTCCTACTAAATTATTATTAAAATCTTCCTCTCACCAACACTTACTTTCACAAGTATAAAGCTATTTTTTAAATTTTTAAATGAAATAAAAAGTTTCTGGCATTTGTCTAAAGAATGAAAAAAGTGAAAATTCAACATTAATAATCATAAATTAACCTCATTAGGTTAATTTTGCCATGTAAAATTATATATGATGTTTCACAAATCATCTATCCTACAGAAAAAAATATTCACAACCATACACTCTATTTGCAGACAGAAACTTTTTCTCCTCTTGCAATTGTTCCCTTTAAGATCAGGTCTTTGTCTCACTCTCTTATACCTTAGATTTTGCCTTTTCAGCTCCCTCTGAATTGTTGCTAAGCTAACATCTACTTCTAGTTCTTTTAAAACTTTTCCTGCTATCACCCTTTCCTTATTTCTTTTCAATTTCTTTATGATCCTATTCATCCTGTCTCTATCTCTCTCAGTAACATTCTATCAAAAATTGATGGTCATACCTAAAAGGAAACCGTAATATACTTAATAAGAGATCAAAGATAGGATATAAGAATGAGTTTATTGACCGCTAACATATGCAAGTAGTAATATTTATATCTGTATTCGAGATTATAATAGTTATCAAATATTTAAAAAGTCTTTGTACACAATTAATTATTCATTAATCTACTATTCTTTCTCTTTTACTAAAATAGTAAAATAGGTCAAATGAATGGAAAAGAATGGCATTTATAATAAATGGATTTAAGTTATGTAGATTCCAGTCGAAACTAAGTTCTCGCTTTGTAGTTGAAAAGACAAGTAATTTGAAATGTTAAGAAGAATATTTTTCCCAACTTTTTTCTTCATTCTACTAAATCAAATATCTTCGAATAGAATTTATATTGATAGAATGTGTAATAATGGAATTTATTATCTATCTAAAGTTTTGTAACTTTAATTTCATTTTTTTCCAGTTTGCGATACATTTATTGGTCAGAAGAATGTAAGATTGGTTAATATGGAAGCTATTTCGGTAACGCAAAATTTGGAATTGAATGATTGTATTCAATCTTTCCTCGCCAGTAATGTTCACACGAGTGTTGAATACAATGAAATATCGAAAGAGTGTCGCAAAAAGGAATTTGGTTCTTATGGATATAACTTAACAGTTGAAGAAGGAACTTTATATTATACTAAAATTGTCAATAAAGGTAAAATTATAAGTGAAATATTTGTGAAAATCTAGATAAAAACTCTTTTAAAAAGGTTCCGAGACTTGGAAAGATTTACCCGGAAAAATGATAAGTTCTTGTCAGCCTTGCGTTATACTAGATAATTTTCATTCCACCGATTTAGCGACATGTAAAGAAGAATGTCTAAAACATAAAGATTGCCTTTCAATAAACAAAGAAAGCTCAACTGAAAGTTGTACTTTTTTCTCTTTAGTTGCAATCCCTGGTGGTTTACTCGGTTACGATGGTAGATCTCATCATCAAAAACGAAATCCCCTAAGTAAACCGGAAATACTTTTCTAATAAAATATAATTTATTAAATTGTGTTTTGTTTTCTAGCATTATTCAATATTTCTACGGAGAATATCTGCCCCGAATCACAAACAGAGTTTATTAAATCAATTGGTGATGGAATTATTGAATGTCCATTAAAAAAAATCTCTATCCCAGCAAATTTTCAAATCAAATATACATCTGACAAAATGATTAATGGAAAAATACAAATTTCTATCTATATAATGGAAAATGACGATGATAAATGTTCAAATATTGTCGTTTTAAACAATCCAAATATTCAAATTCAAATGTGTAATACGGAAATGAATGAAAAGAGTTTCTGTAAATTTGTGTGTGAAGGAGATGATTATAATGAAATTATTATTAAAAGTTTATCACCTGCAAATATTTTTTGTGAAATTCAAATTTTGTCCGAAGATGGAATGAATAATGTTTGTATGTAAAAGAATCTTTCTTGAAATACATTTTCAATGAATTTATTAGAAATTTCAAGACTAGATTTTAGATTGAGAAATTGTTAGGGTGCAGAAGACAGCAACCAATTTGTACTTAGGTAGGGCTAATGGAATAGGTTTTACCCGCTCCAGAGTTATGCAATCAGTAATAAAACACAAATAACAAAGCTAAAATGTATGTATAAGAGACGATTTCAGCAGAATAGCCAGACAGATAATACCTTATGTCTGAATAATTTAAAAACAATTCCAGAACTAGCTCATTTCTATTTTCTAATGCTCGTAATAGAAAAAAACAATTATTTAGGCCTAGTAAAGAATAATTTTACACAGCCTGATTATTTCGTCTTTGCAGTTGTCTATTAATAATAAATAGTACATTGGAACAATTACATTTTTAAAATTTAACCAGTTGATAAGGTCCCCAGGCTAATTGAAAGGGTCCGCAAACCAGTTGAGAGTGTCTGCATATCGATTAGATATCTCTGACAGAAAAATGGATTATATATTAAAATTGAATACGTTTTTGCAGCTGACTTTTCAGAGTTAATTTTGAAACTGCAATAAGATCAATTTCTCCAATTGTTTGGAAATTATTAGATATAACTTTTATTTGTTCTGTCAATAGAAAGCGAGAACTTAATTTCCATACGTTTCCTTTATATTTACATAAACATGACGTAACAATTGGTCTTTAAGGATTTACTTTTACATTCTGAAGATTTACTAAACGTATTTTACTTTAATTTTTGAATACTACTCTGTCTTTAGGGAATGTTTTAGAGAGTACGCTTAATTTGAAACTAAAAAAATTTTCAAGTCTTTGAAATGGTTTTGCCTTAGCTATTTTTCGCTTCACTTCCGCTTAGACGTTTTTCCGTCGATCCTCCGTATGACGCAAAGTTTAATTAAACTCATATAACAAAAGTCAATTAAGCAACTCAACATTTTGAGTCAATAAATTTAGTACAGAAATTTTATTATAAAAGAAACAAACTATCTTAATCTGATAAAAAAGAAACTTGCACAATTATGCTGAAATATTAATTTATCACTAAAAATCAAAGACTATGGTAGCTTGGATATAGGATTATAATTCAGATAAGATAAACAGTAGTTAAGATTTGTTTTCTATCAAGCATACTATTCTTTAAAGATAAGGGAATTGATAAAAAACTTTATATAAACAGCTAACAAAATCAACAAATCTAGTTAGCTGTAAACTTAGATATAATATGTATTCAACAATTCAAATCATCATTCTTCTTATATTCCTTTCTTTTATTTGTTCCACTTTTCAAAATGATATGAAAATTTGTCAACATTTTCCAAATGTTTACTACAAAACTTCTCTAATTGGCGAACCTAGTGACAATTTAAAATGTTTAAGAATAGCTAAAGCTATCAGGAAACCGGCTTCAAAGAGTCCATTTTCGTCCCGTATTGCTCCTATTTTGATGCAAAACATCCTTACGAATATTTTAAATTGTTCATCGAATACAAAGTTCAAAAATTTAGCTGCAAACTGTTTAACAGAAAGAGAAAAGATACTAACAGAATTGGAAAATGGAGAGACGTGGGCCTATAAATGTTAGTAATCATCTATTCTATTCTTATTGTAATCATATATTATAAATAATGACAACTAGTTGAGGATTCTCATGGAATTGACTTATCAGGAACTGCAGTAGGAAGAAAGCAATCGTATGGGGAATACGATCAATGTAAAAGTATTTCCGCAAATGTAAAGATTAATGGAGTTGATGAAAAATGGGAAGGATCCTATGCTAGAATATCTTTTATGGGACTAAGGCCAGATATCTTTATCCCAGATTCATTTATAATAGCATTTTGTGTCGCTCCAAATTGTAGGGAATTTATGGAGAATGTCAAAGATTGTAAATTTACTTTCTTAATTCTCTTAAAAATTCTAATTAAATGAATATTTTTAGTTAGAATTTTAAATGAAAATTGTTCAGTAATTGTTGGAGAAGGAGATTTAAAAGTTGAAAAAAAATTAGTACCACTTAAATCCGATAAATCATCAATTGGAGGAATGTAAACGTCTCTTTTTTTCCTTATCATTTCTCTGATAGACTCCTAAAATATCCCTTTTATCGTTTTAGCGTATTCTTTTCAATATTTGGATTTTTCATGGCAGTTGGAAGTATCTTGGATTATTATATTAGTTTCTATAACAAAGGAAATAGAAATTGGGCAAAAGGTTTTTTTCTATTTCTTCTATTTACATTAAAGTTTTTATTCTTCATTCTTCTTTTCATAGGAAATGTTGCAAGATTCTTTTTACCATTTTCCTTGTATACAAACATTCCAAAACTACTCAAAGGTAGACATTCACCTGGAAGTTTTACAGCAATTCATGGTGTGAGGGCAATAACTGTTTCATGGATTGTACTAACACATGTCTATTTGATTTATCCACAAATTGGAAGTGAGTAGTTTTCTCAATTGTTACAATTCGTCTATTCATTCAAGTAAAAAAATCACGTGATTAAATAAATATAGCTGATATAAATCGATTTGGCGATATGATGAGAACGTTTACCTTCCAAGCTGTTGTTAATGGACAAATGGGTGTTGATACATTTCTCGTTTTAAGTGGTTTCCTATCAGTTCATGCTTTTATTAGAGACATGAAAAAGACAAACAACAATTTACCAATAAAGAAGATAATTAATCATTTTGTTCATAGATTTTGGAGAATATTACCAATGTATGCAGCTGTCATATGTTTTTATTCAACATTCTATGAAAGAATTAGGCAAGGACCTCGTAACATGGTTATGAAGGATATTCATTTTTGTAAAAAGTACTGGTGGAGAAATATTCTTTTCATCAATAATCTCTTTCCTTTCAACGATATAGTAAGTTTTTCCTAGTGACATTTTGTCCAACTTAGTAATAATACTAATTATTATTCAAGTGTATGGGACATACATGGTATTTAGGTGTAGATATGCAATTGTATGTTGTTGCTGCATTTGGCCTATTTCTCTATGTAATGTAAGTTTTAAAAAGAATGAATTTTCTTTTTGTTTTTTATTTTCCCTAATCTAAAAATAGAATTATTATTTAGACGTCCAATT